GACATACTCCCTCCTTTATGCCTCATAGCCAGTCAATGTTATCTCCACCCCAAATCGTGAATCTTCACACTTCCTACATCTCTACTCTTCTCCCCCACGTTCGCCCATTGTCACCTCTCACCTTGACTTCAGCAATTACCTTCCAAATGTTTTCTCATCAGGCATGATCTGAACCAGCCTGATCCTGAACCACCTTTGCCAGCCACACCAGCCACACACAGGTCTCCCTAAGCAAGGTGCTTCACATGTCAAGACGGCTGAGTGTACAGTCCCTGCACTTTGGCGGCTGTTCCCCGTTCTCCCCACTCAACCTGTTTGGATATTTGCTCTTCTTTGCTTTCTTTCAAGGACATCTTTCTTAACCTGTGCTTGGTGCCAGTCCCAGCAAGGCCATAAATTCCAGGAGGGGGCCTCGCTGGTGGTGCAGGAGTTAAAGAAACAGCGCTATCAAGCTATTGCCAGCCAGCCACTGCAGCACGAGTTCGATCCCCGGCCAGGGAGGTGACCCACATGGTGCAGCAGACCTCTCCTTTCTCCCTGCTGCTCCCCTCAGCAGTGTATTTCAGTAGATCTGCCTGTTCTGCTCCCCACTCTGTCTCTGGAGAATCCTCTCACCGCCTGCACCTCTGGTCTACACCCCAGTTCTTGTATGCATAAATAAATATTTTTTTAAAAATTCCAGGAGGGCAAGGAGGTCACCTGAGCCCTCCCACCTGGCCCTGGCACGTAGCTGACACATGCAGATGCTCAACAATTACTGTAGGACTACAGAGATGTGTAAATGGCCAACCCAGAACTTTCCCTCCCCGCCCTGCCTCCTACTTCCCTGGCCTCACCCCCAACTCCACTGCTCTCAGCCCTCTCCTGTCTTTCCACTCATTAAATTTATGATTCTATATTATATCCTTTCAACTCTGGGCAGGGTCCTTCTGTAGCCCCACAACATAACCATAAAATATATCTCTAGTTGCTTTCTGGGATGGAAAAAAAATATTTTTCTATAAAAAGGGGTAATTATAATAGTAAAAATTTCAAAGTATGAAGCAACATTGGAGCCACAGATGGCTGTGGGGAAGGAGAGCTAATTGAAGGAAACCGCAACCCCCAAAAGGCCCCTCCTGCCTACGAGTTGAGCAGGTGCAAGGTGAGAATAGCAGAGAAAGGGAGAAAATACAGGAACTGTATTGAATACAGAAACTTTTTTTTTCAGTCTAGAGAGAATGAGAACCAATTCTTTTTGTTTTGAGAACGGAATTTTAAATATGAGTATTTTCCAGTAATACTGAAAGTGAAGTTGACCTCTGCGTGGGCTGCTACATCTGCCATCTGCTAACATGGGCACAGCTCGACCTTGTCTGAGGACAGACAACAAGGAGGAGGCAAAGCGCACACGCCCCCAAGCTGCTCCCTTGTGTTGTGCCTTGGCAAGTACTTGTCACCTAATTTTACTTTGGAGATAATAAGGAATTATTAAACACAGTGATGAAAGCATTTTGTAGATCAGTGAATATACATATTTTGTGTCGTGAGTGGGGTGTGTGCAGCTGTGAGCATCTGGCACGCTGCCAGCCTGTCCCTAGAGTGTTGGTTTCTGCAGTGTCTAATGGAGAGTCTTACTACCTCACAGAACCCTGCTTGAATGGTGCTTAGAACAGCATAAAGACATGATTATTCATTTCTTTGGCTGCTTTGATAGAGCAACATATCTTGCATTTTTGTCTGTGCTGTCTCAGAGATGCTGATCACTTAGTATATAGTACAAGCCAAATAAGACCTTAATTTGGATCTAAATACTCAGCTTATTAGTCATTAAACATGTTGATCAGGGCCTCCCTGGTGACCTAGGGGTTAAGTCTCAGCTCTACCACTACAAAGGCCTGAGTTCAATCCCTGGCCAGGGAGCTGACCCACATGGCACAGCAGACTTCTCCTGTCTCACCCGCTGCTCCCCTCAGCAGGGCATTTCAGTGGATCTGCCTGTTCTGCTCCCCACTCTGTCTCTGGTGAATCTTCTCATTGACACACCCCTCCCCCCCACACCTCTGGCCTGCACCCCAGTTTTCCTATGCAAAAATAAATAAATACAATCTATAAAAAAAAATAAACATCTTTATCATCTTTTCCCCTCCTAGTTATCGTCTGGTTAAGTATTAACAAAATTGCCATCCCTGCAAATAGCCTGTATTCTCTGGGAATTCATGATAAAACAGTTGCCTTTTCCTCTGCACATATTAATGCATTTCATATCTGCGATTGTTGTACTGTTAGCACATGAGACCAAAAGGACTATTTGTGACAAGACAATGTCAAAAGACCATGTGCTAAAAAAGACAATTCCTTCTGCATCCTATTGAAGTCCAGATTGCCCAGTATTCATTTATTGTTGCAAACAAGTAGCAGAGCCTGTAACTGCGAGGTGTTTGCAGCTTTCTCCTATGCTTCACTGTACTAACATAGAAATTTTCAAACGTACTGACGCTATAAACCCTCCTATTCCCCATTCATCTGTTTTGCTAGGGGTTTTCATAAACCTTTTTCTGTTTGTAAGACTGGCTTTGCAGTAATGAGACACTTAGATTTTGCATTTTCGTCCAGCAGAGATTGCTCAATCTAAATCAACTTTGTGGCTCTGCTTCTCCACACCCTGCCCCTTCACTTTCCTCATTACTGGCATGCCAGGAAATTACTTCTCATCAACAGTCTTTGCCCCCAGCTGGTTAATCAGAGGGGGCTCTTTTTATGGTTAATAAACTCTAAAGGCTGAGGGCGGCAAATCTACACCCTGGTGCCAGCTAATGAAGAGCCTCACATGAAAGCTTTTGCAAAGGGGATGGGCCTGGTACAAATGTCCTGGGATCCACGATTACTCACTCTTCTGCCACATGCTGCATAACAGATAGTAATGATTATTAATTATTTAAGCAAAGAACATGAAAGTCAAGACAGACAGCAGAGGGAAAAAGCTGCGCTCCAGGACCCTCTGTTGAAATCATGCTAATTAGCACAAATTAGAGAAACAAGGGGTATAACCAAGGTGCCACAGAAGTTTTAAAAATTCTCTACCACTACTGCCCCCCCCACAACAAGACAACTTAGGTCACACTTACATGACCTAACAATGGCTAGCAAACTTGCATTTGAGTATGAATTGGCTTCCACAGGCTCCTTTCTGTGAAGGCATATGGTGGGGGTGGGGGGTGACAGGAGGAGGCTCAGCCAGGTCTTCCTGGTTCTGCTGAACCCTGAGTGTCCCTGGAGAGATGTCTTCTTGTTCTCATGCAGTAAAGATTCTGAAAGCCTGGAGTTGAAGCTCCCCTCACCTTGAACTTCTTTTCTTTGTACTGAAATCTAGGAGATTTGCACTTCAAATTTCAAACCTGATGTCCTTCCACTTAGGCTTTAGGGTCTCCGGATCTATCATGGATGGTTTCTCCCTTTATAAAGTCGGACACTATTTAAAAAGGAGCCAGGGCCTCCCTGGTGGCACAAAGGGTCAAGTCTCAGCACTATGAAGCTATCAGCAGCCCCCTGAGTTGGATCCCCAGCCAGGGAGCTGACCCATAGGGCGCAGCAGACCCCTCCTTCTCCCCGCTGCTCCCCTCAGCAGTGTATTTCAGTGGATCCGCCTGTTCTGCTCCCCACTCTGTCTCTGGGGAATCCTCTCACACCGCCGCCCCCCCTACCTCTGGCCTGTGTCCCAGTTCTTGTCTGCATAAGTAAATCTTTAAAAAACAACATTCAGTTTTCAGTCCAAGAGTAAGGAGAATTACTGAAAAGTGGAAAGATGTGGGTGGCCGGATTTGTATTTATAATAGCTAGCTCTGGGCAGTGTATTAGCCAGCTATTGCTGCGTAACAAACCAACTCAAAGGTCAGTGGCTTAAAGTTTTCCTTTTTGCTCAGGGCCTACGGGTTGTCTACCTCAGGCTGTCTCCCCATACCTGCCGGTGTGGGTCTACCTCAAGCCTTGATTATGCCTCAGCAGAGGCTAGCTGCACATTGGGATTACATGTGCTCCGTCTCCTCATTCTCTTGGGACCAGAAGCTACTCAGGGCATTTCCTCTGACAAATGGCAGACTGACAAGACCCCCAAGCCAAACTGTGAAAGCACAGAGAAAACCTCTCCAGCAGTGATACCCAGAAACATTCCATCGGCCAAACCCAGTCATGGCCAAGCCCAAAACGGCAGAATAAGGAGGCACATTCACCTTAAGGGAGTGAGGTATGAATAGATCTGTTAATGCTCCAATGTATCAAAACAGCCACAATCAAGGCATTTCCCTTTCTGATGAAAACCAAACAAATGTAGCATCTATGGCTTTCCTCACCCTAAGCCACCTTGCTTTAGTCCCCCAACAACTGTTTTGATTTTCCCAAAATAGAACAATTGAAATAGAGGCATAGAGTCCTTGCCTCCATTTTTTTTTTTTTTTAAAAGCTGGGGATACCATGGTAATTTTTTTTAAAGATTTATTTATGCATACAAGAGCTGGGGTACAGGCCAGAGGTGTGTGTGGGGGGTGAGAGGATTCACCAGAGACAGAGTGGGGAACAGAACAGGCAGACTGAAATACACTGCTGAGGGGAGCAGCGGGGAGACAGGAGAGGTCTGCTGCGCCATGTGTGTTGCGCCGGGGATCGAACTCGTGCTGCAGAGGCTGCAGATGGCTTAGCTTTGTAGGTTGCTTCTTAACCCCCTGCGCCACCAGGGAGGCCCCCCCCCCCGATTTTTTTTTTATTGAGTGGATGTACAATCTGTAGGTGATCAGAAGCACCTGCTGTAACAGTGAACGGTTTTACAAGGTTTTGGACACAAGTTGATCCCCACTGGCCCATTCTACGTAAACCTTCAGCATGTATCTTCCTGTCAGGGCTGCCCCCACCTTGCTCAGGAATGCTCACGCCTCTGCCTGTTGCTTCAAGGCTACTAAGTCAACTAGGGGTTCCAAACGGAATGCAGAGAAGGCACAGGAGGTTCTCAAGCTATGATGGACGAGTCTGGTACATGCTACATCCTCTCATGAATATTCAAATGTTTTATTGTTTGAAGAGAAAAGAACATCTGTTTTTCCCCAAAGACCTGATTTCTTACTCTTGAGCTTATCTTTAAATGGTGTCCATCCTTTCCTTCCAGCCTTGCAGCTGGGTATGTAGTTACAGCACCAGTCCTGGGTCTTTAAGCAGCAGCTAGTCTCACTGTAGACATCAGTATTTTGGGTGGAGTATGAAGCTGAGGGGGGAGTTCATGTAACTCAGGGGCAGCCCTAGGGAGTGAAGGGAACTATTTTTAGCTGAACTGAAGTGGTAGTAATTCACTTAAAGATTCCAAAGGCTTCAGCAGTGTCTTGGATTGACTTTGCGTAGCTGGCCTGAAATAGCTCCAGCTCAGGGGTTAGATGGACAGAGGGAGGATCTCTGCTGGGAGATAAAAGGGTGCTTGGAGGGCTGATGGTGAAGCCGTGTCAGCTTCTCCCATGGCCCCAGCACAGAGCTCAGCATGGACATTTCTCCTCGTCTTACTAATTGGTGGCGAAGTACAGAGAGAACTGAATGGGACACTTATTTTGCTAATAAGTGGGAAAGTTTTCTTAGGAAAAGAGTCGACAGGCTCATAGAGAAGGCAGGGAGTCCTCCAGCACGCAGGTGGCACTTAAGACCTTTTAACAACTTTGGGTAGGCAATTGCTCTTTTCTTTTCTGAGTAGGAGACACAGAGAAACCAGACGCTGAAGGGGCTGCGGTGTCTGGCAGAGATAAAAGGACTTGTTTTACTTGTGTCCCACTTCTGCAACCAATGATGCCCTACTGTAGAGACCAATATTAGCTCAGGGCTCCCACAAAACCAGTAACACTCTTCGCTAGGATATCTTGGGCCATTGTAGTATCTCTTTAGCACAACTTACATCATTAAAAGGAAATAAAACAGAAAAAGTAATGTATCTCACCTCTCGGAAAGGAAAAGACAGACGGTAACAGAATTAGAGGCTTTTCCGACGTTGGGTACTCTTAATAATTTTATTTTGATTTTAATTTCCCATCACTTTTGATAACTAGACTGAACATACAAGCTTCCTTAGTCAAACCAAACACAATGTTTCCATTTTGATACTCTTAAAATGTGTATTTTAAGATTAATATTTTAATGAGGGCCTCCCCTGGTGGCGCAGCGGCTGAGCGCTGGGCTGCCAGGCTGCCCGCAGCCTCTGCAGCGCCGGTTCGTTCACTGGCCAAGGGCGAGGGTCCCACCAAAAAAAAAAAAATTTTTTAGTGAAAGTGGTATTTAGCTTTTACACAGTTCCTATGCGGTAGTTTCAAAGCAATTTTTACATTTCATAACCTTTCTTCACAAAATATCTACATGAATATTTGGAAGGCAATTTGACAAAACAGGACAAAAATAACTAAGAGTATAATGGAATTCAGACTAGAAATGAGGGCCCCTTGGCATACGGAGAACTTCAGGCTGGAGGAATGTGAGAAATGGCTCTGCAGGAAGGACCTTCTGGCCTTCCCTGAAGCGGCTTATGAACCCTAAGGTGAGAAGGGTCCTTCCTGTGGGGGAGGGGGAACTGCCTTTATCTCAGATGTGGAAACAAAGGGCCCAGGGAGGAATCTGAATGGTTATCTCTAAATTGCCCCAGGTTATACTCAGCTCACCTCTGTCCTATCAGACCATGCCCTGGGCAGCATCTAGCCTCAAGCCTGCATGGTACAGGCAGGTTTAGCATCTCTGTGGGTCTTTATCAACTAGGGAAGCCTCCCCCCTCCAGTCAGCAAAACTTCCAGTAAATGTGTATGCCTTTCACTTGCTAATCCTTTATTACAGGGGTCCCAGTTGAGAACTTAAAAGGTGAAAGTTTTTTTCCTCTCTGCAGGAATATTTGAATTTTCTCTCCATTTAGTGTTTGTCAAAAAAAAAAAAACTAACGCGTTTCAATAATATGCACTTCATAAGATTGATTAAAGGATGAGGTTAAAAATAGACAAAAGAGATCATTTAGATCAAATGCATTGTCAGGATTCTGTCCAAGAGTACTATTCATTACAGCATATAGAAGTATACCTGAAAAACTGCTTCTAAGGACATAGCTATTTGTGATAGAGTTAAATATTAAATGTATCTTTTTTTATGGTTAGGTCCATTTAAAACACCACTTTATTGTAAAATAAACTTGGTGATATAGCTGGGTATCTAAACCTCTTAATTATATCAACACTTAAGAGTCTTATTTAAGGAAAAAAAAAAGGACTCTAACACTCATTTCAGAAAATTTAACAAGCACCAAGTAATGTGTCTGGCATGTATCAGCACTCAGTCACTGATCCTACAATTAAGAGAGAAGGCAGATAGAAACATTCCCTCTCCCACATAGCAATAACTGTTAAGATTTTCCAAAAATGTTTTCCTCTTTCAAATTTTAAGACCAAATCCCCACCAGGGGAAAAGTTACATTTTGAGTTTTTCAAACCAAAAGGCCAGTGGACACAATCTGTTCAGTGCTTTTGTTATAGGGCAGCCCCGATACAAAACAGGGTGCCTGACTGTGGGTCCTCACCCGTGCGCTTACAAGGACTTCTCACTCCTCCACTGCGGGCACACACGAAAGGTTCATAAAAGGTTTATTGACCAGGGAAGGGCAAGTGAGGAAATGGACAGCTCAGGGAGAAAAGCGGGAGACAAAGTCTTAAATGCATCCTACCCGACCCGCCGATCTGGAATCCCAAAGGGCACTGAGAGCTGGCCGCGAGCCGGGAGCTGGGAAGCCGGGGGGCGAGGGAGAGCGCGAGCCCCCCAAGGCCCACGTGTTTGGTTTTTATACCAACCCTGGCTGCTGAACTCCACCCTCAGGTCCCAGCCACCTTCCCTTGGGTGGTGACAGGATTGTCTTTCCCAATGTCTTGATGGCTTTGGTCTGGAGCGGGGGTGGAGTCCACAAAGCCTGCATGGAATTAGCTCAGGACATCCTTTCCCCCTAACAATTTGATTGTAACAAACTAATGTCCTGTTCTGGCAAGAGTGGCTGTGGGAGGCCACTGGCCAGTCCAGCCCCAGCAGGATGCAAGCTCAGGGGCAGGCCTCTCTCCCACCCTTCATTTCTCCTCATGCTCACAAGTTAAAGACAGAGCACACCTGTAGACACTCTGCTACATGGAGTTCTGCTGGTGTTACTTTCTTGCACACCACACCTCCTTCTGGACAAGATGGAGTGGGGGGACCAAGGCTAAGGACTGAGATTTTGCCTGTTTGCTCCCAAAGAACAAATGGTCCTTTCCCGAGTAGATGAAACAAAATATTTAAATAAATAAGTATAAGCTCAGAGCTTTATGAACCAAATATAAGATGCAATTCACCACACCTAGAATGAACTTGGGATAGAATGTGAGATGCTGACAGTAATGTATATGTATGTTTTTAAGATGAAGTGGGAAAACCACCACATTTTCTAAGATGATGGTCAAATCATAGAGTGAACATGATCAGAAATTACCTACTCCAGGCCAAACATTTGTTTGTATCTAAATGACCTATCTGTTGGCCATCATTGAGGGTATATCTGTCCTTAGTTTTTAACTCATCCAGGTTTATGAGTATTGGAGGAACAATGCTAGGCCTGAAGGAAGCAGGTTTTCACCCAGCGAAAAAAATCATTAAATTAAAATACACCTTCCAGAAAGAACAGCCCCCTGTCAAAAAGGAACAGCTGATCTACTAAATCATTTTGAAGTGAGCAGACATAATTAAGATAACTTCAACCCTTAAAGCATGTACTGAAATTCTGACTACAACACAAAATCAGGTTTTCATGGGAAGGTTTCAACATTTCCAAGCCAAGGCTAGAAGTTGGGGCAAAGGATCTGTGGTAGACATGCCCTTAGATAGAACACTTAGAGCATCATCTTCCTCTTTAACTCAAAAGACTGGTGGCTCTTCTTGATCTTTATAGAAAATAATTTTGTTATTTTTCATGGAGTCTATTGTCTGAGACTCTAGGGAACGTGATCTTCGCAGGAAAAACACCCAGCACGAGAGCCTCTGATCTCTCCACTTGGTCCTCTGCGTGGAACAGCAAGGCCTCTGCTGCGAACTCAGAACGTCACTGACCCCTTGTATTTGAGGCCCCTTGAGAGTTCTGTTCTCTGCACATTGAAATAGTGTGAACGGGCAGAGGGATTTCAAAAAAAGTCAGGAAGCCAAAAGGCCACATTAGAGGGGAATATCTTTGAAAAGTCACATTTTTAACCTGCTTTCTGTAACTTAATAAAAATATTAAATACTAGTTTCTCCAGTTTCTGAAATCTTTTCATTCCAGGGCCAGACAGACTGGAAGCAATTACAGCTTGTTCATGGGGGTTTGTGGGAACATTGACAGTTTTAATTTACATATTAATGCTGGAAAACATTTTGAGAGGCAAAGACAAGCATTCTTTGGTCTTAGTAATGAATAGAATAGGGAAAAAATGGGCAGGAAAGTGGTTGAAAAGCTCTAGGCAAAATGGTCTGGGTTTATTTTTTCTGAAATGATTTCAAACTATATCCATCATTCACTGTAATAAGATACGTTTTAATGGTGGAGTTGAACAGCCTTTTATTTTGCTAAAGATGACCAGTCCCTGGCGGCTTGGCTGAGTGTCTTCAACAAAAGGCCTAGCAATCAAAGTTAACAATTCATCCATCCCAGCTCTAATTCTTCCCTGGGAACAACTCCTTCTACCACTTGGTTTCTTCCTCTGCCACCCACCTAGAATCCTTATCTTACCACTCACAGGATAAAAACAAAGCACTGAAACAGAAGAATTGTTTGAAATTATCAGATTTCATTAAATAGCTTGGTCGGACACTTGCCCACTAGAATTCTGCTTCAACCCCAGTTCTTTGAAAAAGGCAGGGCAGGAATTCTTTTCACTAAAATATCAGCTTGACCCAGGATGTCATAAAGTGAGCTACCTTAGCATCAGTTATTGCAGTCTGAGACCTCCCAAGAGGTCTAAAAAGAAAAACCAAGCCAAGATTAAATATAGCCAAATACAGACAGGAAGACACAGACTGAAAGTTAGTTATTAACTATAGTTGCATAGAATATACTCACTTTTCACTTTTCTGAATTAAATGCAGAACTTAGGAAACAAACCATACTGAATGGTGCTTGAGAGAGAGCTGTTAAATGCTCGATTAGCTCCAATGCAAAACTTCCTTCTGCGATCAGGGGGGGAATGCACAGTAGTCCCATGTGGTTAGCAGACCCTACTATTCCCATTGACCAGAAGAGGAAAATGCAGCTCATAAAGATTAAGTAACCCACGGACGGCCATCTGGTGATGAGGGACAGTGTCTTGGTAGGTACTGCAAACTTGGTCACTTTTAAATAAAGACTAATTTAAAATTGAGCACTAGTTATAATTTATAAAATCAATGTGATTTTATGTCATTAATGGCAAAATATTTTGTAGATGTTGGCCTAACAGAAAGTTTAAGGGAAACCAAAATTAAGGACTCCAGATTCATGTAGGCCCCTTTCAAATACAAATGATTCCTAATTTTCCTCACCTACTACTGGAGGAAAAGGGGGAATGTAGCTATGGCTGAAAACAACAACAAAACTCACAGCAGTTCCATTTCTAGGTATATACCTAAAAGAACGGATAACAGGTATTTAAACAAATACTGGTACACAAATGTTCATAGCAGCGTTATTCACAATCGCCAAAAGGAAGGAAAAAACCCAGTGAGAGAAGTGGATAAATACAATATTGAGTTCACACAAAGGAATATTATTCAGCCATTAAAAGGAAAGAAGTTTTGATACACGCTATAAAGTAGATTAACCTCAAAAATACTATGCTAGGGGCCTTCCTGGAGGCGCAAAGGGTTAAGCACTGCACTATGAAGCAATCCGCAGCCTCTGCAGCACGAGTTCAATCCCTGACTGGCCAGGGAGCTACCCACATGGCGCAGCAGACCTCTCCTGCCTCGCCTGCTGCTCCCCTCACAGTGTACTTCGGTCGATCTGCCTGTTCTGTTCCCCACTCTGTCTCTGGTGAATCCTCTCACCCCCAGCATCTATGGCCTATACCCAGCTCTTGTATGCATAAATAAACAAACCTTTAAAAAAATACTATGTTAAGTGAAAGCAGTCTAACATAGAAGGTCACTGTGTTGGTTCCACTTACATGAAAATAGCCAGAATAGGAAAAGCCGTAGACAGAAAATGAGACTAGTGTTTGCTGGAGGGAAGTGGAGGGGGTGGGGAGTGGCTGCTTAGGGGCTTTGGGGTCTCTTTTGAGGGTGCTGAAAATGTTTTGCAACTAGATAGTGGTGTTAGTTATACAACACTGAGAAAGTACTAAATACTGATGGATCATATACTTTAAGATGGTAAATTTTCTGTTCTATGAATTTTCTTCAATTAAACAAAAACCCTCACAAAATAACGAAATGACAATTGGCCATGAAGCCCTAGATGAATAGCACGTAAGATGCTTTTTCTTGGTGTGTCACAATTTCATTGTGAGCTTTTGACCATCATTAACTGATATATAAAAAATTATCCACTGAAAGTTCCAAATAAGGCATTAATGTAGCTGAGGTGCCCTAATTGCGTCCAGTTGGCAGAGCACCTAGTAGAGCTGACAGCATACAAGAAGCTTCCGCTTTTAATTTGCATAAAATGCAAAGAAAAGGAATATTGAAAATACATGAAAGAAAATAAAGTGGCCGGAGCCTCAGGAATTAGCTCACACGCACACCCACGGGCAAAACTAGCTACTTGAGCACGCAGAAAGATGTGAGCATGCAGGCGAGAACCCTGCTTTTCCGTGTAACTTATTTTGTGTTTCTCCAAAAGCTGAAGAGTAAATAGTAGCTTAGCTCCAGCAACCTCCTGGTTTCAGGAGAGGTCACACGCGGGGAGGCGTCTAGCTGCCAATTCCAATTGCTTCCCAGGAGAAACAACACAGGAGGTTAAGTTACTTCAGGAGACTCTCAACAGGGCGCCCACTGTTCCAAGCTCAACACTCAGAGACACAATGGGCCCCATTCATAGGGAGACCTTACGGGCTGGAGAATGGTCCCTTCGTGGCAATTTTTTGCTGGGACATTGAGTTTTCATAAACATGGACTTCCACAAACATGTAAAAACTTTTTTTAAACAGCACAGAAGAAATAAAATTCAATGGACATTGACCGGAGAGTCGGGACACCTGAGTCTTGGCCCTCGCACTGACTCTTAGATGACTTTATGTAAGTCCCTTGCTTTCTCCGAGCCTGTTTCCTTGTTTGTAAAATGAAACTATTTCTATGAGCACTTAGAATTCTAAAATTCTGTGACCACATGAGGTTTGTTGATGGAGCTATACTGTTCATCCCAACAGGAAGGGGTAGATTATGAACAGAAAGGAATCGTTAGTTCGTAACTTTTCATTGAGTACCAGCATTTAAGAACAAGGAGCCTTGATAAAAAGAAGCGGAGAAACCGTTTTCTGTTCTCGCTCTTAAACAACAAATCACAGTAAGGGTCGGTGGGTGCTGTCACCCCAGCAAACCCAGGATACCTGAGACCCCCCAGAAGGATGACGAACCATCAGTACACTGTCACCTTTTCTTAGATTATTATGCACTTCAAGAATCTCTTGCTTCCTTTTCAATGACTCAAAATCCCCAGAAGAAAACATCATTTACAACAAAAATGCTATCAAAGTTCCAAGCTTCCACACCACGTCATTTTTTTGTTTTTTCGACCTCAAAACTGGCCAAAGCAAGAACTTTGTCTCCAGAGCCTAAGGAGAAAGACACATGATAAACAGAAAGGTCATGTCAAAAGTATTGACAGTTCCAAGAGAAGAGGAAAATATCTATCACAGAAATATTAAAACAGAGAATAAAATCAGATCCTATCATCTGCCATCATCCCTAAACCTGCCCCATGCCACCCCAACATCCTCCCCTACACAAAGAACTCAGCTACATAGGAGGACTTATTAGTTATCCTAGTTTTAAGTATGTGATAGAAAATACTTCATATTCATAGTTGCAGCTAGTTGATAAATATTTTTAAAAACTGACTTATTATATCACTTATTAAAAAGTATGGGGAAATAAGACCAATTTGTATTGGAATTTATGATGAAAACAATTCTGATTTTACCTCTAAACTCATGAAAAGGTTATCATGTTATCTCACCCATGCTTTCTACCAAGCTGGAACAGTAACGCATGTCAAACTTTCAGAAGTTCAAGGGTACTCACCAAGATCTGTAGAGACCTTCTCAAACTGGCTGAGTATAGCACCTGCATTTGCTGACAAGAAGGCCTCATCATCTGCTGTCAGCTAAACAAAACAAAACAAAGCCCAGCCAAGTGGGCTCAGCTGTTCCAGGACCACGGTTAAGATGATCTCAGGATCACAAACTTGATCACAGATCAAGAAGTTCTGTATTAAATATTTCACACTTTTTCTTTATTAAATTAAACACTGGTACCTTCTCTCCAAGTTTCCTGAGAGCTGTTAGTATCTCCACTTTCTGTTGAGTATATAGGTCTCTCTCTAGTTTTCCCACCATGAGATCTCTGTCCATCTATAACAGATTAATACAAAGCATATGCTAAGTTAAAAACATATGCTAAGTTAAAAAACACAAAAATTCAGCTTTTCAGATCTGCTTCTTGAAAAATGGATCCTCTAGCTGATTAATATTTGAAGAACTATTGAGACATAAACTATGCAAAATAAACATGATAGAAATGTTACTATAAGTTCTAATAAATCTTAACGCTATCATAATCATTATCTTGTAAACTCTACTAAGGAATTAGGAGGTTAACAGCTCCTTTAGAGAGGCCCTATCCTGTAAGAACTCATTAAACGGAAGTGTGGTGTACAGACTTGATGAGCTAAGTAGTATCAGATCTCCTAGAACTTTAATTATCATCTCTAACACCAGAAATACAATAGCCTGTATTATGCATTGGTATTATTCAAGGTATTTACACATGTTACACATAATATGGTTTTACACATATTACTTCATTTAATTCTCACAACTACCCTAAGAGGTAGGAACTATAATTATCACCTTTTTTTCAGATGGGTAAACTGAGGCATAAAAGGCTGAACAAAATAACTTGCCCAAGGTCCCATATCTCCATAGTGAAGAAGAGGTACAAATCCAGTCAGTCTGACCCATGTCCTTGCTCTTAGCCACTATGCTACTGAATCAACAGTGGCTGCAAGTAACTTGTTATGTTGTTGTTTTAAAAAAAATTTTTTAAAGATTTATTTGTGCATACAAGAGCTGGGGTGCAGGCCAGAGATGCGGGGTGAGAGGATTCACCAGAGACACAGTGGGGAGCAGAACAGGCAGATGTACTGAAATACACTGCTGAGGGAAGCAGCGGGCGTATCAGGAGAGGTCTGCTGTGCCATATCAGTCACCTGCCAGGCTGGGTATCGAACTTGTGTTGCAGTGGCTGAGGATAGTTTCATAGTGCTGTCTTAACCCCTTACACCATTAGGGAGGCCCCTTGCAAGTAACTTGTTAATGCCCTGATAATATTCTCAAACTGTAAACAGATGTCCTGAAGTATCAGGTTTGTGAAGATGTTTGAAATTCTTAGATGAGAAAGGACACAGATGCATAAAGCAATGAATTCCAGATGCAATTTCAGGTCAGGGCTCCAGAAGGAAATTGTGTTACCCTGAAGGTAGACCCCAAGCAGATGGCGTTGGCATGCAGTTTAAACTGCCACATTCGTTATCCACCATAGTACGCCAAAGACTACTTTTGTCAGAAAACTATAGATGGTGGCTCTAAAATCCACTGGCCATTTTTATTTTAATAAGACTACTTTTTAGAGTAGTTTTACTGGGTCACATTAAACTGAGTTCTCCTTCTCCCATTCATGCATAGCTTCCCCATTACAAATATCCACACCAGAGCGGTACACATGTTACAGCTGATTAACTTGCACTGACACAAGACAGTCACTCCACTGCTTACATTAGCATTTACTAATGATGTTGTACATTCAACTGACCAGCTTTGAAATGTCATAATGAGCACATTCATAGGCTGGGAAAACAAACACACACAGAAGTCAGATCAACTTGAAGAAACTTCACCTCTGCTAGCCTTGTCCGGAGCTGACCTGGTTGTTTCTTGGCAAACAATCTGATGACCTCTGGGGTTTTAAAGGCCTGGCTGATAGCCGCCTGGATAGCCTAGCAATACAAGAAAGTCAAAATTAAACAAAAAATTCCAAAGAATCAGATACTGTAATACTTGATTGATGTATCTTCAATTATTAATAGGTCTTCTTTGTTCATCAAACCTGTTAACAATTTTAGTTCCCATGTGCCATTTCTGACCACATAGCTGAAGTCAAATACATAGCTAAATAAAGCACAGGAAGCATATACATTTTTATCCATTAAATAGACATCTAGAAATTAATCCCCCAAAAGGATACATTTTCTATCTTAAATAGACTTACAAAAATAAAATAAGCTATGTAGACAATGTAATTAACTTCTGCTTACCAGTTGCATTCCACTTAATTCATCTACCAAAGTCATATTTCCAGACATAATTTTCTTTAGTGAATCATTAAATTCACTTAGTTGCTCCAAAGTTTCCTTTTTGGTCTCTTCATATTCATCTGCATCAAGTTCCTCTCTGAAGGGTAGTAAACATTGTAAGAGAAAAAAACAGAGCTCTAAGTGAAAAAAACTCAATCAGTATTTTGTGAGGAAAAGGCTGAAATACCAAAATGCAATTAATGATGGGTTTGTTCACATATTAGTAGTAGGGGCTTTTTCCTGCAACATAGTTACTTCGATGATTAAACTTGTCTTGTACCAAAATGAGGCACACAACCAACCACATAGTAACTTTTCTTTTAAGCAATCTGTGAATCTATTGTACAACCTTGGACCAGAGACTGAAAGAAATCAAGACTCCGTTTCTTTATCTACAGGCTGTAGCTAATAGTAGTATCCACATTATAGAGTTGTTCTGAGCATTGAAGGAGATAAGGAAAGTGCTCAGCATGTAACAGGGAGCTGACAAATAACTGCTGCTATCGCCAATCATCATCATCAATGGAGGGAAAAAATGTGGTGTACCCTGAAATACAACAAAATATAGTACCTGTTCTCTAAGTAACCAGCTATTTTTAGTTACCAGCAAGACATTTATTAAACATTCGCTGCAAATAACAACAGCTACCACTTACTGAACACTGACTCTAGGCCAAATGTTATGGCACCTTCATTTGTAAGAAGGCTGTCAAATTACCTTTTAAAGATTTGTTTTTATTTATTTATGTATACAAGAACTGGAGTGTAGGTCAGAGGTGGGGGGTGTGTATGAGAAGATTCACTAGAGACAGAGTGGGGAGCAGAACAGGCAGATCTACTGAAATACATTGCTGCAGGGAGCAGCGGCAAGACAGGAGAGGTCTGCTGTGCTATATGGGTCAGCTCCCTGGACAGGGATCAAACTCAGGCTGCAGTAGCTGATGATAGCTTGATAGTGCTGAGACTTTAACCTCTGCACCACTAAGAAGGCCCCCCAAATTACCTTTATTAAAAAATTGTACTTGGAGGGCCTCCCTGGTGGCTTAGAGGTTGTCTCAGTGCTATCACCTCTATGTCCTGAGTTCAATCCCCAGCCAGGAAGCTAACACGTATATGGTGCAGCAAACCTTTCCTGTCTTGCCTGCTGCTCCCTGCAGCAGTGTATTTCAGTGAATCCACCTGTTCTGCTCCTAACTCTGTCTCTGGTGAATCCTCTTAACCCTGCTCCTCTGGCCTACACCCCAGTTCTTCTACACACACACACACACACAAAATTGTTCTTTGGGGAAAAAAAAAAAAACATGAACAATCCCTGTCCCTTGAGAGGGTAGGCCTGAAAACAAAAACCAGATGTTGAAGTAGTTCCTTATCATGTCGATACCAGGCAGGGTCGTTTTAAACACTGACGACAGGCAGATGTTATTATTTCCACTTCACATGAGAGAAAACGGAAACTTAAGGGGGTGAAGTGCTTTGCCCAAGTTCACATGCACTTAGTAATTAATCAAAAGACTTTTGCATCCCAGTCTTTAAGACTCCAAAGACTGCATGAGTTTATTTCTCCAACAGACAAAGCAACGTGAACACTACAGGACAGACCAAAATCACACCTGGACCTGCACCCATGAGCTTGTAAGCTAACCACGGAAACCAAAGTCCTTTAACAGCACAGCAGCATTAATCATAGAAAAATATAAATAAGCTACATTATAGTCAGAAGCATAGTTTATTATACATATATTTGAAGTATAAATTTACCTGCATTCCTCCAGATCTTGTAATTGCTGCATTAGTCTATCCAATTGTTCTTCTAAATTCTGCTTTAATTTGCTTGTTTCTGTCTTTCCTCTGGAAGCCATTTTAATCTCTAAGTAGAACAAAAACCCACACACACAGTATATATTGGGTAATTTGAAACAAGTCAACATGCCAGTGCAATTTAAAATAGGCTACATATACTTTTTTTTTAAAACGATTTTTATTATTTTTTTTTAAAGATTTATTTGTATTTATTTACACAAGCACTGGGTACAGTCAGAAGCGAGGGAGGGCCCGCCATGTGGGACCCTCCTCCGGTGGCAGGGGAGCAGCCGGGGATTGAACCGGCGCTGCAGAGGCTGCGGGCAACCCAGTGCTCAACCGCTGCGCCACCAGGGAGGCCCCAAAGCTACATATACTTTTTCTGAGCTACAGTAGGGAAAGATGCTATGCAAATAAATCTCAATTTAGATATAATAGTTTAAGCTTAATAGTAACACCTCACAAAAATGTGTGGCAATCTTCTTGACAAATTTAATTAGAAATCTTCACTATTCGCCTTTTATTTTTAGTAAATTTGATAAAAATACAGATTTATAAAAATATATCAAGTGTGACTTTGCTTTACAAAAAATTTATTTTAAGATTCTTTTTTATTTTTGTTAAGTATATACCAGGACACTCCTAGTATTATCTTGTTGGGCTCATGATTTACTTAATGACTTGTGGGCATGAAAATCTTTTGATATGATTATTTTCTTAGGAAACTGCCCATTTTCCTACTGAATTATCTTCCGCTTATTGATTTCTATAACAAGGTAGGAAACCTTTGTAATTATGTTGCGAATACCTTTTCTCCTGACTTTAAATTTATGGTGTTTTTGTCATAATAGATTATTATAGATTATTATTTTTAATGGTCAGACCTATCTTCTCCTTTAAGTCTTCTCAGTTTTGTTTCCCTGGAAGGCAGGTCACAACCATCTCAAAATTTAAAAAAAAATAGGCTTTTATGGATTTTTTTTTTAAATTTAGCTCTTTAAGTCACCTATAACTTTTTTGGTTAATTCTATGAAGTTGGGGGTCTAACTTGTAGTTTCTTTCAAATGAACAGCCAATTGCCCCAATAAGGTTTATCAGTAAGTATTTATTTATACCATCTTTATTGTAAACCCAGGTTCATGTCTGTCTCACTGACTAAATTCTCCTCCTAAGGCATAACCTCAAATTTTAATTATTATAGCTCCAGAGCTGGTGCATATTAATAACTGATAAGAAGCTGCCTTTATAATTGTGGGTTTTTGGGTTTTTTAAAAACAATTCTTGGCTATTCTTGCATATTTTCCCTTCTAGTTGAATTTAAGAATCAGTTTGTCATGTTCCATTAATAGTCCAATTAAAAATTTGACAGGAATTACATTAAAATTACAGATTAATACAGAGAAATTTTAATTCTCCTATCGAGTAATTCACCTCTCCATTTATCTAGGCTTTCTTTCATGATCTTTAGCTTAAAAAGATAAGTATTATAGTCTTAAACATTGACTGTTCTTAAATGTTTTGTATTTTTTGTTAAAATTAGAAATAAGGTTGTTGTTGGTAAAATTTCTGACTATTGCTGATGTAGAATAAAGCTATTGGTTTGGCCTGTGGATGCTGCGTATTTACCTTAACATTTATTGCATGTATGTTTTCCCATTTATGAAAATTAAACTTACATTCTGTTCAGGAGCCACATTTTGTTATATATTTGGTATCACCATCACCAAAACCTAAAACCTAGTTTAACTTATTAAGCATCTTTAATTATCCTACAATTAATCATTATTAGATGATTTGATGTGTGAACTTCAACGAAAAGGATTCCCTATATTATATTCAAAGTAGAACATAATCAACAAAAATTTATTCTTACTATGGTATCTTTTAAAATTGGCTTAAATCATCTATAAGCATTAATCATAGAGAAATATAAATAAGCTACATGATAGCCAGAAGTGTAGTTTATTATGGCTATATTTGAAGTATAAATTTTCCTGGAAATACCCATGTCAGTTTTTAAAAACCAGTTGAATTTCCCAGTGAAAATCAAGGCAAATCTAAGCTAAAACTAAAAGTGTCTGGTTAGGCTTAATTTCCTCCAGTCTAACTACAACGACGTACTTACTTTTCCAAACCATGCCCTGCACTTCGTCCTTCTCTTCTTGAGCCTGCATTGTCTCCCTACCTATCAAACTCAAGTCCTCCATTCTTTAAGGTTCAGTTAAATTTTCACCTTCATTAAGGCTTCCCTGGCTCTCTCCCAATCATTAGGATTGTGAGTTCAGAGTAGGGGTTTTATCTTTCCTTATATACTTAGCAAAAAGCTAGGCAGACAGAAAGTACTGGGAAAATAATTGGTAACTAAATACTGAGAACTGACTGCTTTTCCCCCAGTTTTCCACTTCTTATTCTCTAGTTAGCACTTATTTTCTATCATGAATGATATGTGGCTTCACTAGAGCATGTTTGCCTATGTTTCTTTCCAGACTGTAAACTCAGAGCAGAAAATAAATCTGATTCCCCTTTTGTCCTCCTCAGCACTTAATACGGAATAGCTATTCAAAAACTGGGTGAAGCGTACAAAAGCACCGCACATTTTAAGGAAGTAAAGTTATTCTACATAAATTCCACTTTTTAAAAGTTATTCTACATAAATTTCAACTTTAAAAGCGGATGTACAGTGAGATTTATTCCCCAAAGAGTAACTCGTTGGCACCACCTAGTATTCAGTGGAAGTGGTGCACCTTTTCCAAAAGTACGAATGGCTCTGAAAAGCTGATCTAGAGTGGAAGGGATTTATTCACTCTCACCTGTCTCTTAGTCCTCTGCACCTCCAGTTCTTGAAGTTCCAAATGTCACAAAATTGAGGAAGACGAAACTGAGCATCAGGACAAGAGGGTCAAAGTTTAAACCACCTGGAGGTGGGTGGGGCTGGCTGGTAAAAGGAAGCCCGTCCACAAGCAGTTTTACTTACTATTATAACTTGGCCTAAGGCAGTCCAGATAAATTCACTTAGTGCGACTGAGGGTGTCACAGAGGAAAACCTCGCACCCGGACGCGCCGTGGGGCAAGCTGTCACACCCAGAACTACGGAAAAGGGCGGGCAGAGAGCACACCTATCCCCGGCTGGTAATGAGCGGCAGCGTCCGGACCTCAGGCCTCCGCTGGGGTAAGTCAGCACCAGGCCCCCAACCGAAACCTCATCTTTAGGGGGAAACTGGAAGCGCCCGCTCTAGGGTCCCGCGGCGCCGGGCTCCACTAGGCCGCGGGGCCGCCAGAGGTCGCGGGGAGGCGCCGGCCCCGGAACTCCTGCCCTCCCACCCTGGACAGACACCGGACAAGCCCCGCAGGCCCCAAGTTCCCTCTCTCCCCCTCCGCCCGCCGGTCAACCCACAATTGGGAGGCAGGGGCCCCGCCTACCTGGGGGTCAGGGGGACACACACGGGCGGAGCACTTCCGGCGTACACGCACTTCCGGCCTCCTGACCAATGAGAGTGCGTTTCCGGGTTCGCTGCGCCGGCGGTCCGGGCTGTCGCTTGTCTCCTGGAGAATTGGACCGCTCGGCCCTGAGGACGTGCACAGTAAGCCCCGCACCCGAGCCTCTGAGGACCCTCATTGGGGGACTCGACCCCTTTGGTCTCAGGCGTAGGAGGGTGCGAGATGTTGAGGTCTTAAGGGTCAAACAGTGGTCCCCGAGGCGAGGTCATATTCAAGTTTGGGGCAAGGAGTCTTGTCCTTCCTGTCGTTCTGTGGAACCGAACACCTTGGGAAACTTGCCTCTGGCCTAAGGAGTAGGTAGAGTCACCCTGAAAAAAAGCTTCCTGGCGATGTCTTGGGGGCTGTCACGCTTGAGCTTGGCCAGGTTGGTTGGAGGGGAGGAGGAGGAAGACCTCCATCCCGAACGACTTGTTTTTCCTCTGAAATTATTTACAAATCTTGAAAAGACCAGATCCAACTTCTGGGGGGTGGGTGGGGAGCAGTTGTATTCATGCCCCTCGAGAAGAAGACAGCTAGTGGTTGGGCAACACTCTAAAAGTTACTTAGAAATTGTGTGGAAGCCGTGTTCTGATCTACCCAGCCCACCTCCTTGGAGAATCTGTTACAGAGCATCCCGGATATAAAACGGGTTCCCTGGCTGTGGGTCCTCACCCGCGCACTTGAAAGGGACTTCTTAATACTCCAGGCACACACAAAAGGTTAATAAAAGGTTTATTTACAAGGGAAAGGGAAATGAGGAAATGTACAACTCAGGGAGAAAATAGGGAAATAAAGTCTTTAATGCGTCCTACCTGATCCGCCCGAGTATGGAATTAGCTTTAGGACATCCTTTCCCCCCTAACAAATCCATACAACAACATTAGGGTTTAGGGGCTGTCGTATTTCAGAGATCTTTAAAGTCAATTCTGTTTCAGCCACCCAGGACAAACGTTCAGCTAAGATAACCGTAGAACTCCAGCAGAATGAATTATTTCTCTCAGTTCTGGATGATCACAGACTTCCTTTCTTGTTACCATAAATTGTTTTTCAGGGTTACAATTTGGATGTGAAACCGTTATTCTAGCCCAGCGTTGAGAAGACTGTTGACAGCCAAGTTGGAATGGTTCCAATTGCCTGCCTTGTAAAACGCTTCAGACTCACAGATTCTGTTTTGTAAAAGTAAGTGACTCATGTAAATGCAACGATCTCTAATTGTTGCTATGAGACTGTGTATGGAAGTGTCAACATTTTGAATAATGTAAAACTCTCAGTAACAGGTAGTTAGGATCAGTGCTAAACAAAACAATACTTAAAACTGTACTCCCTTCTTTCAGCATTTGAGGAACTTGCTTGCTAAGTTTAGGACAAGTCAATTCGAATGTGGAATGAAGGTGGGAGCATGCAAGGTTCTCCAACTAGCTAGGGAAAATGCTGGGTGAAACTTGAGTGATTAACACAAAGCCAAACTCTCTATGTGAACCTCTTTTAAACATCTACAGATAGGTAACTTGTACCATTGTGAGTCTTGTGTAATGGTTAAGAGCTTGAATTTTAGAGCCAGGGGTGTTATACAGTGAGATTTTTTTTTTAAGATTTATTTATGCATTCAAGAACTGGGGTACAGGCCAGAAATGTGGGGGGGGGGAATGAGAGGAGACAGAGTGAGGAACAGAACAGGCAGATTGAAATACACTACTGAGGGGAGCAGCGGGCAAGTCAGGAGAGGTCTGCTGTGCCTTGTGGGTAGCTCCCTGGCCAGGGATTGAACTCATGCTGCAGTGGCTGTGGATAGCTTCATAGGTTGTGTCTTAACCCCTTGAGCGACCAGGGAGGCCCCTGGCCAGGGATCACTCAGGCTGAAGTGACTGGTAATAGCTTGTAACACTGAGACTTTAAACTCTGCGTCATCAGGGAGGCCCGTAACTTTGATATCTAGAGCATGTTAAGCACCTTCTCTCAGCATTCATTTAAAAAGGGCAGGAGGGGCCTCCCCAGTGGCACAGCAGGTTGAGCACAGCGCTGGGAAGCTGTCCGCAGCCTCTGCAGCGTGGGTTCAATTCCTGGCAGGCCAGGGAGCTACCTACATGGCGTGGCAGACCTCTCTTATCTCGCCTGCTGCTCCCCTCAGCAGTGTCTTCAGTCCTTCTGCCTGTTCTGCTTCCCGCTCTGTCTCTGGTGAATCCTTACCCTCTCGCACCTCTGGCCTATACCCAAGTTCTTGTATAAATAAATAAATCTTAAAAAAAAAAGGGCAGGAGCGATAATAATATTCCCTAGTTTGTTGGCACATTATTAATATTACATGAATGTCTAGCATGTTGCTTAGGAAAAACTCAATGAATGTTATTATCATCATCATACTTAAATAGCCATAATTGGATCTATTTTTATGAGAAACAGGCTCTTCCAAAGTGAATGAGGGAACGTATTTCCATTTAGTGATGAATACACAAAATGAGGATTCCATAAGAAGGAAGCCTGTAGTTTTCTGTCCCTCTGTTGTCAATATCCCACCCCCAACTCATCCTCAAGCAAACACTGATCTGCCTTCTATTGTTACAGATCAAATTACCTGTTCTAGAATGTCATAACTGGAATCATCCCATGTGTACTTTTTTTGTGTCTGGCTCTTTTCACCCAAAATAATGTCCACAGGATTTGTCCATGCTATTTTTGTCAGCAGTTCCTTTTTGTTGCTACATAGTATTCTATCATATCACTTTTCTACTTTGCTTATTCACTTGCCTCTTAACATTTGAGTTGTTCCAATTTTTTGCCTGGTATTTATAAAGTCAAACCATATAGTTCTTTCAGTGGAGGTATGTTTTTATTTCTCCCCATTATTTTGATATCTCACATTTGCATGGGTTGAAACTGCAATTAGGTAGGAATTAAGTCTGGGTGGAGCCCAGCATGAATGACTTTACTTGGGGGCTTGTTTTCCTTTTTTTAACAGTACATATACCCAACATTTTGCTTATAACTTCAGAGAGATATCCCTAAAACCCAGGCCCCAGATGAAGAACTCCTAAAACAAAGCATCCTCCCAACATAGATGCTCGACAAATGTTCCTTGACCTCTGAGTGAATGTGTATTATATCTAAGAATGTTGTTAGTTCTCAAGGGAGTATTGCTGATTGTGGTTGTCTAAGTTATGAGGGAACTAAAATATAGCACCATTTTAGAATTTATAATTTTCTCCTGTATCAGAAAGAGCATAACTTATATTTCGTAAGATATTAATAGCACAAAATACATTAATGTTTCTTAAGTTAGCTCTGGTGAAACCAGATTTGGTTTTGGAAGAAGTGTGGTAAAACCATAAAAATAAATGAAAATTTTGTTTCATAGATTATGGATTCATTAAACACTGATTCAGGCTATGTTTACCAATTAAAAAACAATTTTTAAAAAGAAACAATTTCATTTTTTTAAGTTACGGTGAGAATGTTGCTTAATTCCAAGATACAGAACAGCCAGCAGCCTTGGTTTTAAGCAGCAACCTCTTACATTTAGAAATAATCAATTAAAAATTTGCAATTAGTGAAAAGCAGTTGGATTTTCTATGTATTTTGAAGGTGGAGCCAATGTGATTTTCTGATGTGTTGTATGTAAAAAAAAAAAAAAAGTAAAGGCATTAGGATGATTTGAGGTAGTTGACCTCAACATCTTGAAGGATAGAGCTGTATCAACTGAGATATTCAGGTAGATCAGATTTGAGGGGCAAAATAAAAGTTCAGGAAAAAAACTTCCAATGGAAATACTACCTTGAGGTAAGTTGATACTTATCTGACAACTTAATATTTAGCTGATGAGGTCTAGAAGATAAAAGGCTCTGTTTTTTTGTTATTGTTTATTTTTGTTTTTTTGCATAGAAGAACTGGGGTGTAGGCCGGAGTGCAGGGGGTGAGAGGATTCACCAGAGACAGAGTGAAGAGCAGAACAGGCGAATTCACTGAAATACACTGCTGAGGGCATCAGCTCCCATTTAAAATACCTGAGTCTGCATATACAGAAAAAATGAAAAGACAGCAATTGACTGTCATGAGGCAAAAGGTCATTTAACCCAGTGGAGGAGATGTTGATGGCATTCACTATAAAATTTCCCGCCTCATTCTGAAAGAAGCAATCAATTCACTTTGTTCAAGTTTGCAATCTGAAGCACCGCCTTCTTTGGTGAAACTAAACATTTGTTCATTGCTAAGATTTGTATTTCCTTCTGTCTTTCCCATCTTCTCTACCAAGCAACCTTCCAGCTCATGCTACAAATGCTACTTCATCAAAACAAAAAAGGAGGTTCAGAAAGTCAGGGTAATGATCTGGAAGGTAATTAACAGGAGATCTTTATTTGGGGTTAGTTTGGTTGTAGTATCAAGCCTGTGGTTTTGGTTGAGCTATTCCTTTTTATCTACTCCCAGTGCTTGTTAATACTTAAAGACAGCTTTCTTGCAAATAATTGGTTTAGATGTACTTCCTGTTGTTGAAACTCT